CAGGTTTTTGTCGCTATCGGCACCGGTTTTTTCGGCAAATGCTACTAGTTAGGATAAATGAGACAAACCACCAGGGCTGTCTGAAAACATCCCCTCAAAATTCCAGCCTTCTAGCTTCTCAGGTCCCCAAGCTAGCAACTAATTCAAAAAAAATTTTGGTGAGCCCATACGTTGGTATCACGCGGGTAACAGCGCCCATTTTAGAGATGGAGCCCGTACACGCATACAGATTATGTTCCCACAGTTTTAGCCCTGTGGCTTTTGTAGGTGTTGAGATGAAAAATCAGTACAGACGAACAAACAGACATATACACACAGACCACCTTTTGTCAATATGTGTTTTCTGCATTGCATAGATGCAAAAGACGCATAAAAACGTAATTTCGAAAAATGCCTGAACGCAACACAGAAACGAAAGTTCCTGTGCTTCCTCTGCCGCCTGATTTACAGCAAAACAGCTACCAAGTACATCAGCAAAATTGCCAGCTTAAACACTTTGGCAGCTATCTTAAGCGGAAGGCACATGTGCGGAAAAAATAATAATTCTTTAGAACCCCCAGAAACCAGTACTCGAAAGGGGCCACCGTGTCAAAAGAGAAGAAGTGTAACGCTGAAGAACTTCGAACCTGTAGTTTGTCATGTCGCGACGATGCCGGTGGCCTGTTTCGATGAGATTCACTGGCAGCATCGTTAGCACGGTGATCGCAACGCAGCCGACCGTTATCAGGCCCGAATAGATCTGCTCGTACCACATCGCGGCACACTGCCTCAAATTACACCACAGCAACGCAGAATAAAACTATGCGTGAAGCAGGCGCACTCTCACGCACCATCCCGAGCTTGCCCCTGCGAGCCCGAATTGCACATGAACGCAGCAGCCACGATCTACCTTCCGATCCCCACTCACCTGAGGCCCTAGCTCGAGAAGAACTGCGAAAACCAAGGGTCAGCGAATTAACTCGCAAAATTCCACCCCTTCAAATCGTCATCTCGCAGCGTTAACATCGCATTACACATACACACGCACGGAAACACCCCTCCCCCTCCACCTCACCACGTGGAGCGCACTTAAACAACGACAATTTCTAGGCAATTACAATAACTCGGCTCGACTCGGCCCATCTCATACACGAGCCGCAAAAATTTTTTTCTCGCGGCGGCAGTTTGAATATGGGAAATGAAAGTGGAGGTGGAGTGCGGCGTGTTTCATTCAAGGCAAGAGAGAGA